GAGGAGGGTGGGGGAACGGGGGAGAAGGTGGGGGGGGAATGAAGAGGCAAACACAGCAAGGCAGGAGAAGCCTGAGGTCCTGGCTTAACGATCGCAACCAGGACTACCAAAGCTGCGGTTCCTAAGTGGTGTAGTCACATGATGTTTTGCCTAACAACCACATTGGTTAGTGATGGAAATTCTGGTCCCAGTTAGGATCATTAAGCGAGCATTACCTGTAGAGCTGTGAATCACAGGTCCTTAGTTCAGATCTACTCTTGTCCTCATACACATTACATATCCTTAGATATGCAACTGTTTCCCAGCCTCATCTCTCTTTCTATGAAAGATGGGTCTTTGACCTCTCCTAAAGTTTGATTACTAGAATTACTACCAACAATCTATGTAACACAGAAAGAATTCTATATACATGCTAAATATTATTTGTACTGGCTATTCTTAGGAATCTTATTTCAGATACCTTGGGATTAGGGTATAAGATGTAAAACTCTCACCACTGGTTTATCTCACCTAACCAGCATAACCCAGGGTGATACAGAAATTATGCCTTCAGCTGGTCGTTGAAAGTTGTCTTCTCCTTTCCTTCCCCTCAACCAGGGGTATAGAAACAAGTTCAAAAGAAAGAATAACTTTCACCTTTCTGCTAATTGAGAAAAACAATCTTAAGCAAGGATCTAGTAGTCAGTCTGGAGAGGTCTACACCTTCTGATGTGTGTTACCAGGTTACAAGCCCCACCACCACAGAGACAAATTGGCATCAGAAATATCTGCTTAAAATACAATTTAGAATTTATTAAGACACATGGATGGGTGTTAGGCTTTTAAAAAAGAGGGTGATTGGTCCTCAAGAAAAGGCTAGCTTAAAGAAAACTGAGGTTTGAGTACACACTAAATAAAATCAGTCCCCAAACACCACTTTGTGTCTAGTTGCTCATTGTACTTAGAAGTCTGTATGGTTCATATCTCTTTTTGAGTCCTGGAATATTTTAACCCACAACGTAGTAGGAGAGCAGAGGTAGAGTGAGGGGTTGATTCCTTTTTTTCTTTTACCCCATTCAGGGAAATTCAGAAGAACAAAAGACTCTTGCAACTTTTCTGTGGCTATTTAACCACAGGGGAGCAGTGACTGGGCTATAGTCTTACTGTTGTACACATAGAAGGGCTTAGGCTACAGATCAGTTGTGGGTGTGTTTTTGATCTAACAGGGATCTCTAAAGCTTGCACTGCTAGACACACCTATTAGTTTACAGAGGCCATATTACTTTCTGTTATATCGCAATAATTAGATAGACTATGTTCTTCATTTCTTCAGTTGCTGCATTTTGTGGAATCTGATTGCTCCCGTCTAGAAGCATTTCTGAAGTGGAAGCCTATGGAACCCCTTTATTGGCATTGGATGGTATGGTATGGCTCAATATTGCAATTTACAAACAGTTACACAATTTTTTAAATTTCTCCTTTCAGCCAAGGATAGTTTGTAACCCCCCCTCCAAAATTGGACAAAATTATCAGTATAGATATCAATTAGGTTCTTGTCAAGTGCCTAATTAAAGCTGGGCAATATACTACGGATTTTAAAACTATATTTGGGGTAGGCAGTAGAGCTCCTGTTGAGGTTAAAAGCAATGGATAATTTGCTATCTATACATGTGTTTAGTTGAACCGTGCCTTTGAGTTTTGATTTAGGTGTCACATCCTGGTAGAACCAGTACCATGAAGTTTTGCTTGCTTGAATGGTACAACAGTTTTGAATACTCCTTCATCCATTATACAGTATACTTTATCTGTTATTTATATCCTATTTTTCAGAATACTACCATGGTAACTTGTACGCACGATGCCAACTATCAATGATAAATATATAATCATGTATTTTTAAATGACAATTGGACACCCTTCTCTTCAGGAATCATTTTCATGGAACATAGATTATAATAACCAGGGGAATGGGTAATCCAGCTACAGCAGACTCTGAGATGCAAAATATCTGTTTCACAGAGGAATTTTAAATAAGTGTAAATTTGGACAAGAGATGTGAGATTTGCTTTTGACAAATCCATGCTGTTTCTGGTAATCACAACATAGTTTTCAACATACTTACAGATCAAAGTCTTCATAATCTGTTTTGGAATCTACCCAGATTTCTGTTCTAGGTTTTTCCATGTGCACTGTCCCATTTTTATCTCTGATAAAAAATTCAGGAACAAGTGCACTTGATTCTGCTTACTGTGAACTTTTTCAGCTTCAGATTTCTTTAAAATCTGTTACCACAAAGTAATATAGAGGTAAACAGTAAGTAGATCAGAATATATTGCTAGATCATCAAAGAGTTTCCAATCCTCAATGGTTTACAATAACAGGGAGAAAATGTTTTCTTTTTTTGTGTCTTAAATTTGGTTGCTGAAGTGAAGAAAATGTCCTGGGTAATTAGGATTTGATTTGTGCATGAATGGATGGACCATTAGGAGCTCCAGCCGGAATACTTAAAACAGATTCCTAGGTGTTTGTATGTGCTCCAAGGGATGGTTCTTGTTTGCCTTGTTCTGATCTGCCTTCCTGTTCTGTACCTGGTTGCAGTTGATGGGTCTTGCAGAAAATAGTTAAATCAATCAAATATTTGGCCTAATTTCTAGAGTGAGCTATTCCTAAGACAATGAGACAGAGATATATGTCAAGTATTTCCCATATTATAATTAGCATATATTAGATACTTTAGGTTTGAATTACTTGCTCTTAATTAGTATCAACTGGGTTAACACAGTTATATCACACAAACAATTGTGTGATATAGACTTTTCAAAGAAAATATATATATAGGCAAAGAAAAAGAACAAAAAAGGAATGAGTAAAATAGAAAAGAATAACCAAGGGACTTAAAATGTCAGAGAAGTTAACATGTTCCAGTATATCATTAATTGACAGTAAATAACTAAATAATATCATTTTAAAAGCCTGAACATTGTGATTAAGGTCTAAACAAATTATAAATCACAGAATGAAATTATAAACTACAGTAAATTCTATCTGAATGGATAAAACTGTTCTAATTTAGAAGTCATATAAAAGTACAACAAAGACTTTTTGCAGAGAGAAACCCAAATTCTGGATGTGATACATATCCATGTATTGAACTGTAGTCTAATAATATTAATTGTAGTATTGTTGGGGACATCTTTTTGATAGTAATGCACATTTTTCCAGTATTTTCCAGTTGAATCTGCTACTCAAGAACTGCATATAATTTACATATGTAGGTTGTATATAATCTTCAGATAGGACAAAATGTACATTACATTACATTTTGTAAGATAAATGAGTCGTTGAATTCCTCGAACAGATTATGATTATGAAAAATTAATAAAACTTTGGAATTTCCCTCCTATCTCACAGGAGACTGTTTTAGATATGGTAACAGAAGATACCCAGAAACAGAATATGTGTGGCGAGGACTGTCTTTTGCCAGGTAATGACCTGGGTTGCCATAGTGCCAGCAGAATTATTGAAGAACTTGACAAATGTAAGAAAGATCTAATGACTCTGTGCCAGGAGTTACGTGAGCGTAGAACCCTCAGGAAACTGGCTTGCTATGGAAAGGTAAGGTCTGTTAGAAATCCAGTTGGAATTAAGACTTCCTCTTTTTAGTCATCTAATGCTTTTCTTCATTAATCTGTTTCAACCTCTTTCTGGGTGGGAAGTTTAAGCCATGGTTTACATAAAATTTTGCTAATGCAGGAATACATTTGCACAAATTTAAAATTGAGATTTACTATGTTATCAAATGTATTAATACAGGTAGGCCTAACTTAACGACCGTTTGTTTACCAACCATTTGAAGTTATGATGGCACTTAAAAAAGCTACTTACAACCGGCATTTACAACCATCACAGCACCCCTGGGGTCACATGATTGTGATCCGGGCGCTTAGCAACCAGCTTGCATTTACGATGGTTGCAGTGTCCTGGGGTCATGTGATTGCCATTTGTGACCTTCCCAGCTGGCTTCCAGCAAGCAAAATCAATGGGGAACCATGTGATTCACTTAACAACTGCAGCAAAAAATGTCATAAAATTGGATGCAGTCATGTGATGTTTCACTTAGTGACCACCCTGCTTAATGACAAATTTTCCAGTCCCTATTGTGGCCATTAAATGAGGACTGCCTATATGTATCAATTTTTTTAAAAAAGAAAGAATAAACCAACATAGTGTGTTGAAAATGAGCTTACTTACAAAACTGTCCATATTTTAATAGGTTTTATTTTTGAGACACTTTTTAACAAAGAAATCAATATCATGTATAAAAAAGATATGTAAAAATGGAAAATGTGTTTTGTTTCAAGCTTGGAATAAAAGAGCTCCACTCAAAACATTCTCATACATAAAATATGTTGTATTCCTGCATAACAAAACCCAAGTCACATAAAATGTTCCATTGGAATTTAAACATTTTGAGTATTCTAGCAATGGCAACTCCAAACAAGTCCCTTGCTCCCTTGTATTTCACCACAGTACTATAGAGGTGGTAGAATGATGATTGCTAATGAACAGCCAACATGCAGATTGTCAACAGGTAATCCCCTGTTGGATAGAAATTACTTTATTCTCAGAAACGTTTCCCCATCTTGCATTCTAAACAGAGAGACTCAGTTCAGTAAATAAATGCCCCAAGGCTTTTATCTGAACTTATCCTCCTATCAAATATCAAGTATCCCTCCCTAGAAAGAACAAGCAGATGAAACAGTCAAATTATAATCTTTGCCATTTTTTACTGTTTTTTTTTAAATATTAAAAATTGGCTTGCAGTGCAGCTATGCTACTCATACCTCCTGCATAATAAAAGCCAGGTGTGAACAAACTAAACACTGGTATGTCTTGATCTAGCCATATTGGACAACTTCCTTTTGGGGGGAAGATTAGTGAGACAGTGATGAATAATTAGTTACAGAGGATCTTAGAGGAAATCAAGTATCAGAATCTCTTCAGTAGAGGTTCAGGCCTGATCTGTGGAAACAGCATTGTATGAAACAGCATGACCTTTGCTGGGACCTCGAAGTGTAGGGAAGTGCAGGTAGAGGCTGCAGCTAGAGGACTTTTTTCCAACTTTGGCTGATGTGGCAGTTACAGTCTGTCCTGGATCATGAGGCATTGGCAACAGCAACTTGTGCCTGTATTGTCCCGTGATGTACTGCTACTCTACAGGAGGCTATCTTTGAAAATGGTCTAGAAAATAAAGCTCATATAAAATGCAGTGGCCAGGCAGGAGGCAGGTTCTACCCTGCAGAATAATTCCTATTTTACATTGAAAGATGGTGACGTTGCAGATTCCAGCCATGATTGCTCTGTATGAAGGGTACATGTTACTTTATAAATATTTCAGGCAAGCATGTTAGTTGGAGAGGAGCTTGGAAGATAAATGATTGTGCTGAGAGAAAGAAAAAATAAATTTAAAAACTGGCTTGTTTCAAAAAAAGAGCTTTGGAACACTTAGATTTATAGCTTCTACCAGTGTGTTCTCAGCGTCTGACTGTTGTATGTGAATAGTTAGATTGCGCTTTTGGCAAATTTCTGTTAATTTGTAATCTGGAGAAGTGGTATATAAGAAAGATAAGAGGAAGAGAATCAAATCAGACTGTGGTGAGCTGAAAATAAAACAAAGTAGAGCAGATGGAGTGTGCTCTAGAATGTGAAAGTAACCTGATAGCTATTGAGGAAGCAATAGTAACTGAAAACAGATTTGAAATACATACCAATACATGATCTTTGTCAAAGACACTAAGAAATTACAAAGAGGTGGATAACATATGGCAGGATAAAAGGGATAAGGTGGAGAAGTAACATTTAAAGGAAAAGAGGTAACTCTATAATCTTTTTGTTCTAAGGAGAAAAAGAAATACAGTACTGTGTCAACCATT